CCTAAACCCTAAACCCTAAACCCTAAACCCTAAACCCAATGCCCTAAACCCTAAACCAAATGTTAAACAACCCCAAGGCTCCGAACAGAGCGGAAGCGGCTCAGTGTAGAAGTTTCAGAAGCGGAACATCTCACGGCCCCAAGAGGGTGTTAGACTGCAGTGCAACCAAACATCCAAAACCCCTCAGCCCCCAAACTCTCCAAACGTCCAAACTGCCAAACTCCCCAAACTCCCTAAACCCTAAACCCTAAACTAAACCCTAAACGCCCACAAATTCTCCCCAAGTTTCTTCCCAAACTCCGCAAACTCCCGAAACCCCAAACTCCCCAAACTCCCCCAACTCCTTAAAACCCTAAACCCTAAAACCCTAAAGCCTGAGCTCGGTGTCGGGGCAGCCTAGCACCCTCTCTGCAAGGAGCCGCGCCACGCCGTAGCTGTGGGGACGGTTCCGAAGGTGGGCGCCTTTCAGGGTTTAGGGGTTTAGAGGTTCAGGGGTTTTTAGGGTTTAGGGTTTAGGGCTTAGGGCTTCGGGTTTCGGGTTTGGGCGGTTTTGGGGTAACGGGGTTTAGGAGATTAGGGGTCATAGAAGGGTCTGGTAGGGGGCACCCTCAACCTTTCTCCCTCGCAACCCTAAGCCCTAAACCCTAGACCCTAAACCCCTAAAACCCTGAACCCCGAAAACCCTGAACCCCTAAACCCCTGAACCCCTAAACCCCTAAACCCCTAAACCCCTAAACCCCTTAACCCCTAAACCCCTAAACCCCCTCAACCCCCTAAACCCCTAAACCCCTAAACCCCCTTAGCCCCTAAACCCCCTGAAACCCCCTAAACCCCTAAGCCCCCTTAGCCCCTGAACCCCCTAAACCCTACATTCAGACGCTTCGAGGTTTCGATGCCGAGGTGTTGGAGGTAGACCTGTTGCAGCTCAGCTCTAGTCTGCTAGGATGCCCTGTGGTGCCCTTATTCCCTTTTTGGAGGGTTTAGGTTCCCTTATAAACCCCTTTAAGCAGAAAAGGGCACCCTTTTTAAGCCTAGGCTACTGGGCAGCTTAGTCTGGCTGTTTCTTCGTAGGGCCCCCCGTGGGTTGAGGGTTCAGGGTTTAGAGTTTAGGGTTTAGGGTTCACGGTTTAGGGTTTAGGGTTTCATTAGAATGATGTGCCCCCATATGGGTTGAGGGTTTAGGGTTCATCCTTTGAAGGGTATATGTAGGGGCGTACTTCCCTACTAAGAACCAGGGGGTGGTTTGCGTCCAGGGCATCGGGTTTAAGGTGCCCTGTGCTTTTAGGGTCGAGGGAGGGGTTTAGGGGTTTAGGGGTTTAGGGGTGTAGGGGTTTAGGGGTTTAGGGGTTTAGGGGTTTAGGGGTTTAGGGGTTTGGGGGTTTGGGGGTTTGGGGTTTAGGGGTTAAGGGTTTAGGGTTTCGGTTTAGGGTTTCGGGTTTAGGGTTTCGGTTTTAGGGCTTAGGGTTGATGGTTTAGGGTTTAGGGTTGAGGATTTTTAGGGTTTGGGGTTTGGGGTTGGGGGTCTAGGGTTGAGGTTCATAGCGCCTGCTATCAGCGGCAGTCTTCGAGAGTGCTCTTGCTGAGTCAGATGCTTCACTGCGCACAAAGAGCCTCAAGATGAAGGCAGAAGCCCTTGAGCAGGCCAGAGAGGACGCGAAACTGGGGAACCGGCCAGGCGCGCGCTCTCGACCGAGTCCCGGATGACTTCGGCCTTGATCAGGGGACTGGCCAAGTTCATGCCCTCGGACAATGGCTTGGTCGCGAACATGAACCTGACCAAATCCAACTCGAACAAGTGTGTGCGCTCGGCCAATAGCCTGGACCTGGCCCTGTGCTGGGACTGCGCCTCTGAGTGTTAGACCTCCTTAGCGCTGAGCTGTGAGACCCTGCCGAAACGTAATAAGAAGAAGAAGAAGAAGAAGAAGAAGAAGAAGAAGAAGAAGAAGAAGAAGAAGAAGAAGAAGAAGAAGAAGAAGAAGAAGAAGAAGAAGAAGAAGAAGAAGAAGAAGAAGAAGAAGAAGAAGAAGAAGAGTAATAATGATAATTACCTAATAATAGTAATAATAATCGTAATAATGGTAATAATAATAGTAATAATCATGATAATAATTATTATGGCGCAAAAGAGTCGTCTCATCTGCAGGGCTCCAAACGGCACGTGCTCCTGGCAGAGCTCGCCGAGGAGGAGGAGGCGCCTTGGAAGCCCAGATCTGACGGGGGGCTTCTTCGTGTTGGATGTAGGGCCTTATAGGGCTTATAAGGGAGATTAGGGATATATAGGGTTTAGGGCTTAGGGATATATATATATATATAGGGTTTAGGGATATAGGGCTTATAGGGTTTAGGGATTAGGGATATTTCGGGTTTAGGGATTAGGGCTTATAGGGCTTATAGGGCTTATAGGGCTTATAGGGCTTATGGGGCTTATGGGGCTTATGGGGCTTATAGGGTTTGTAGGGTTTAGGGATTAGGGATATAGGGCCTATAGGGTTTAGGGATTAGGGATATAGGGCTGATAGGGTTTTAGGGATGAGGGATATATAGGGTTTAGGGATTAGGGATAGAGGGCTTAGAGGGTTTTGGAATGAGGGATATAGGGCTTATAGGGTTTAGGGTTTAGAGTTTAGGGATTTGGGGTTAGGTTTTAGGGTTTAGGGCTTATAGGGATGAGGGTTTAGGGTTTAGGGTTCTGAGGCTTGAATGTTCTATCAAGTTTTAGGGTTGAGGGCGTTTGAGTTTCGAGTCATTTGCTGGAACTCCCGAGTGGATCAAGTTAAGGGGCTACCGGAAAACAGGGACCCCAAAACAAGGGACGCCAATTTGGATGTTTACGAAAATTGTGGACCCCCCCAATATAGGTTCCCAAATAGTCGGACCCCCTTACTCTAAGAACCCAAATAAAGTACCCCCTAAATATCGTAAACCCAAAATCCCTAAACCCCAAACACGGCAAACCTAAACCCCAATAAAGTAACCCAAACCCCCCCCCCCCCCCCCACCCCATTTAGAGCGTGAGAGCCCCAGGCCACGTTCCCTTCCCCTTGCGGCCCTGGTAGCTCGAGTCTTATCCCGAGAGATCCTGTGATCCTATGCCTTAAGCTAGAATCCTAACATACCCTCTAGCCCTAAACCCTAAACCTTCAACCCTAAACCCTAAACACTAAACCCTAAACCCTAAACCCCAAACCCCAAACCCCAAACCCCACACCCGAAAGGATCCTAAGCCCAAGCCCTCGCACTCGCCAGTGCAGGATATGCGCCACTACCTGGCCATGGGCGTTCTCTTCAAGAAGGGGAGGCTGGGGGTTCAAGGGCAGTTGAGGTTTAAGGGTTTTAAGGGTTTTCAGGGTTTTAAGGCTTTTAAGGGTTTTAGGGTTTAGGGGGGGTTAGAGTTGAAGGGTTTTAGGGTTTCGGGGTTACCACACCCCGAACCCTGAACCCGAAACCCAGACCGATTGGCTGAAAACCAATGCCCAGTGGTGTAGGGCTTGGGTCACAAGGTTCAGGGTTTAGGGTTTTGGCGCTTAGGGTTTAGGACTTGGGTTTGGGGTTCAGGGTTTGGGGTTTGGGGTATGGGGTTTGGGATTTAGGGTTTTGTGGCTTAGGGTTTGGCGTTTAGGGCTTGGGGTTTAGGGTTTGGGGTTCAGGGTTGTAGGGTTTTGGGAAGCTGCCGGCACAGGGTTTGGGGTTGAGGGTTCAGGGTTTAGGGTTTAGGCTGTTTGGGGTTTCTGCGTTCCGTTCCCTGTTCAACTCCGGGGGTTTGGTTTAGGGCTGAGGGTGTAGCATCTAGGGCTTAGGGGAAGCTCCAATTCTGCACGCTAAACGCTACAACCGAGGTCGCCCCTTAGTTTGCTTTAGGGTTCGGATCCCTGAAACATATACACCTGATGAGACCACACAGCCCGCCTGAGACCCTCTGTCAAAGCTTAAACCCCTTAAGCCCTTAAACCCGAAACCTTGAGACCCTTAAAGCCATAAGCCTTTCTGCCCTTAGACCCAAGACCTGACACACCTTCCTAAACCCTAATCCTAAACCCTAAACCCTTTAGGGTTTACTGTAGGGTTTAGGGTTTAGGGTCGAGGGTCGAGGGTCTAGGGTCTAGGGCGTAGAGTTGGGGGCTTAGAGTCTAGGGTTTTGAAAGTTCATGCTTTCAGGTAGTTGCCGCTAAATTTCATTTAAACCCAAAGCGCCGTGCTTGCTTTTGCCTGCAGAAGCTCCTGATTTGTTACCTGATTGATCAGGACGTCGCTCTCTGTCGGCAGCCCAGTCATCCTTCCCATTGTTGCGAGGAGACTCCGGCCTTAAGGAGGGTTTAGGGTTTAGGGTTTAGGGTTTAGGGTTTAGGGTTTAGGGTTTAGGGTTTAGGGTTTAGGGTTTAGGGTTTAGGGTTTAGGGTTAACAGGTTAAGCATGTCGGAGGTAGTTTAGTTGGGGCTGTTCGAGGCGCCTGGTTTGGGCTTGGACGTTTTGGCCCTAGAGCCTTTAAGGCTGCAATCCTAAACCCTCAACCCTCAAGCCTAAACCCTCAACCCTCAAGCCTAAACCCTAGATCCTAAACCCTAAACCCTAAACCCTAAACCCCTTAAACCTATAAAGCTTAAACACTGGACCGCAAGGACCCCCACAACCACGTTCACCCACTCTGCAGAATTTCTGCTCAGACTGCTGCCGTCGTGTTACATGCTCAGGTGAACACCCCAAGCCCAAATTGGGTTGAGGGTTTCGGCTTTCACACGCAGTCAGCATGTCTCCTCAGCCGTGCAAACTTGTCCGGCTTCCGCCGTAGTATGAATTTCAGGGTTTTTGGGCAGCCTAACCCTTAACCCTAAGCCCTACACACCCCTACACCCCAGACTCTCCACCCGCCGCAGAGTAATCTCAAGGTTGATCACCCTAAACCCTAAAACTACCCCAAACCCTAAACCCTAAACCCTGATTACCTGTGGCTTCTCCTGCAAGCTGGACAAGTAGGATAAGGCAACAGTCGCACCCACCAGCCCATGTCCATCAAAATCGGGGTGTCGCTGCTGAGTGGCCGGCAGGCAGCGGTTTGGATTTAGGGTTTAAGGGTTAAGGGTTCAGGGTTTAGGGCTTGGGGTGTAGGGTTTGGGGTTTAGGTTCGGGGCTCGGGGTGTGGGGTTTTAGCGTCTCATCTGGGCGTGTTCTGGGTTCAGTTTCCCTCACCGGCGACTTTTTTTGGTTGCCCTCTTGAGCCCTTCCCAACCGCCCCTGGAAGTTAAACGTGTAGGGATGAGCTAGAGAGGTTCCGACGCCGATGTCCATGGGGTGGTGGTTCCTGAGGTTTAGGTCTCAGGGTTGAGGCCTTATACCCTGAACCCTAAACCCTGCACCCTGAATCCGACCCCACATCCCCAACTAAACACGGAAACCATGCACGCACCAAGGTCAGGCGCCCATACAGCAATGACCTATCTTGAACTGCAATCGGGCTCCGTGCTTTCCCTAGCCTAACTCCTTAAACCTTAACCTTGGGGGAACATCCCAACCGAAACCACTAAGCCCTAAAACCCTAAACCCTAAACCCTAAACCGTAAACCCTGAACCCTGAACCCTGAACCCTGAACCCTGAAACCCTAAAACCTAAACCCTAATCCCTAAACCACCAGAGCCAACGCCCTGAGGCCACGCTGGACATCGAGCTCCCGTCGACGGTGCGAGATCTTCGGCGGAGGGCCGAATGCAAGCTTGGCGCGGGTAGGGTTGCCCAGGGTTTAGGGTTTTAGGGTTTTAGGGTTTTAGGGTTTTAGGGTTTTAGGGTTTTAGGGTTTTAGGGTTTTAGGGTTTTAGGGTTTTAGGGTTTTAGGGTGTTAGGGTTTTAGGGTTTTAGGGTTTAGGGTTTTAGGGTTTTAGGGTTTTCGGGTTTTAGGGTTTTAGGGTTTTAGGGTTTTAGGGTTTTAGGGTTTAGGGTTTTAGGGTTTTAGGGTTTTAGGGTTTTAGGGTTTTAGGGTTTTAGGGTTTTAGGGTTTTAGGGTTTGAGGGTTTGAGGGTTTTAGGGTTTTAGGGTTTTAGGGTTTTAGGGTTTTAGGGTCTTAGGGTTTTAGGGTTTTAGGGTTTTAGGGTTTTAGGGTTTTAGGGTTTTAGGGTTTTAGGGTTTTAGGGTTTTAGGGTTTTAGGGTTTTAGGGTTTTAGGGTTTTAGGGTTTTAGGGTTTTAGGGTTTTAGGGTTTTAGGGTTGCCAAGAGGGTCGGAGGACGAACCCCAAACTGCAAGGGTTTAGGGTCCAGAACCCCCCCCCCCAACCTGGTGGCGCTTGTCTTTGTATTCCAAACCCTAGCCCTAAACCCCAAACGCTAAACGCTAAACCCTAACCGGTTATGATAAGGAAAGTTTTACTAGAGACTGAAAGCTCGAACCCATGAGCCCTTTTTGACAAGCAAAATCCTGCAACCCTAGACTCTAAGGGCTCTAAGGTTTAAAGGCTTTAGGGTTCTAAGGTTTATAGGGTTTTAAGCCCTAAGATTCCACGCCCGAAACTCTAATTCGTGACCCTAGACCCTAAACCCTAAACCCTAAACCCTGAACCCTGAACCCTGAACCCTGAACCCTGAACCCTGAACCCTGAGCCCTGAACCCTGAAACCCTAAACAAGGCCTCTGCGCGCTGGTGACCTCGTCCGGCTCGCTCTTAGCGGAGCTGTCGACGATTGACGAGGCGGGACATCGGTTCTGTCTGGTGGGCTGCCCCTCATCCTCAACCCTAAGCCCCTAAGCCCCTAAGCCCCTAAGCCCCTAAGCCCCTAAGCCCCTAAGCCCCTAAGCGCCTAAGCCCCTAAACCCTAAACCCTAAACCCTAAACTAAACCCTAAACCCTAAACCCTAAATCCTCAACCCTTAAAACCGAACCCTTGTCTGTAAACGGTAAAAACCCTAAATCCTCAACCCTAAACCTAGTGCCTGGTTTAAGGGAAGACTCAGCTACTGTGGTAGGCCTTCCTAAACACAGGGTTTCTTGTACTTTGGGTTCAGGGTTTAGGGTCAGGCTTTGGGGTTTAGGTTTAGGGCGAGGAAATAAGAGACCTCAAATTTAAAGTTGTATTCAAGAGGATAAAGATGTATATACAGCATACATATATATATATATATATATATATGTATTATGTATGTGTATATATATACATACATATGTATATATATATATACATATAAAATATGTATACATAAATATATATATATATATATATATACATATGTATGCAAGCTTAAGGTCGGGCTGCGGAGCGGCGATGTCTTGACGGCGGCAGTGAGGCAGCCGCAGACGCTTGGCCGCAATGGGCGCCCCCTGGGACGAGGACTTAGCCTCTCTGGGCCCTAAGCCCTAAACCCTAAACCCTAAACCCCAAACCATAAACCCTAAACCCTAAACCCTAAACCTCCTATAAGGCCCAAACCTCTTAAGCCCAAAGCTGCCCAAACCTCTTTAAACCCAAAGCCCCCTCTTCCCTAAACCCTAGCTGCCCGTAACGCCTGCACGGATGCGTGCATAAAGCCCCAAGCCCTCGAGAACTCCCACACCCTCAACCCCCTGAACCCCTCAACCCCTGATCCCCTAATCCCCTACGCCCCTCATTCCCTGAACCCCTAATCCCCTAAACCCTATGCCCTAAAGCGCCTAATTAAGTAAAACCCCTAAACCCTGAACCCTTAACCCTCAACCCTAAACCCTCAACACCCTCTCCTCTCAGAATCGCCTCGACGCTGACGGCCTTCGCACTGCTGCGCTCGGATGGATCGGTAGTCACCTGGGGCGATGCGAAACAAGGCTTCTGGAGCTGCAAGGGTTTAGGGTTTAGGGTTTAGGGTTTAGGGTTTAGGGTTTAGGGTTTAGGGTTTAGGGTTTAGGGTTTAGTGAGCTTCTTTAGGAGGGTTTAGGGTTAAGGGGTTCGGGGCAAGGCTTGTTGAGCTGCCGCGGTTTATAAGAGGCCTATGCAGGAGGGTTTTGGTTTAGGGTTTAGGGTTTAGGGTTTAGGGTTTAGGGTTTAGGGTTTAGGGTTTAGGGTTTAGGGTTTAGGGTTTAGGGTTTAGGGTTTAGGGTTTAGGGTTTAGGGTTTAGGGTTTAGTGTTGAGGGTTTAGGGTCCTTTTGCGCTCCAGGCTTGCGCTGGGAGCTCTGGGATTCAGAGCGCAGACCCTAAAGCATTGCGAGCGGTGGCGAAGGGTGGACCTTCACTCGGGTTGCTTGGGTTCCGGGGTTTAGAGGGTTTAGGATCCCAACCTTAAACTCTAAACCGAACCCTCATGAAGCCCGGTGCCAGATGGGTGGTTGTCAAAATTATGATCCCTTTTCGGGTACCCTAAATGTTAACGCTACGCGACCCGCCTCGGCCTGAACTTCTGTAACAAGGGCAACCCAAACCAGGGCCCAACGCGAACCCCTATAAATCCTATAAACCCTATAAACACCATAACCCTATAACCCAATAAACCTATACCCTATATGCCCTATACACCCTATACACCCTTAAGCCCCATAAACCCTACAACCCCAAACAGAATAAGCCCCACGCTAGACCCTAAACCGCAATCCCAATAAGCCCCCAGCCCTAGGACCGAAACCCTAAACCCTCAACCCCAAACCCAGGAAGCCCCAAACCCTAGACCCTAGACCCTAGACCCTAGACCCTAGACCCTAGACCCTAGACCCTAGACCCTAGACCCTAGACCCTAAACCCTAAACCCTAAACCCTAAACCCTAAACCCTAAACCCTAAACCCTAAACCCTAAACCCTAAACCCTAACCCTAAACCCTAAACCCCCCCAAGTTGGGCGCCCCGAGGTGGTGACAGTAGCAGCGTTCAGGAGCAGCTCCAAGATGTTCTGGAGATACAGGCCTGGGGTTTAAGGGTTTAGGGTTTAGGGTTTAGGGGTTTAGGGTTTAGGGTTTAGGGTTTAGGGGTTTAGGGGTTTAGGGTTTAGGGGCTTAGGGTTAAGGGGTTTCGGGTTTAGAGTTTGGGAGAGGATTGCAAGAAGGGGGACTCTCCGGAGTTCAGGTCTCAGGGTCCCTCCTGTCCGAGGTCCTGCATGCAACCTCGCAAGCAGCATGTTGTCTTGGCCCCTTTGCCGGTAATTCGGGCAGCAGGTACCTCGTCCCCCCGCTATTTCAAGCCCTACAAAAGGGATCATACCCAAGATTTTACCAGAAAGTTTAGGGGGGGGATACAGTAGTAGCACTATAAAGGGATCATAAATGAATATGCCGGGAAGTTGAGGGGGGGAACATCCGGTTCGTGGGTTGCGTGAAGGCTGCCGACTACGCATTTGCAGCTCGCCGTGCGGACGGTCGCGTGGTCACTTGGGGCCCCTTCTCGGCGCTTTTTGAGGGGGGGGCTGAGGGCTTCTGGAGCCTCAGGGCTGCGGGGGTGTAGGGTTTACGGTTTAGGGTTCAGGGTTTAGGGTTAGGAGTTCAGCGTTTTGTTTGGGGGTGGGCTTGAGGGTCTAGCAGTTACAGGGCTTGAGAGGTTTTGGGCTGCTTCAGGGCTGCAGGATTTTGAGATGTCAGCTCCTTTATATATATATGTATATACATATATGTGTTTTTGTATTTATTTGTTTAAATTGAACTATATAGTACATGAAAGGGTAATTTGAGGACTTGGGGTCTGCATGTTTGGGTTCAAGTTTGAGGCTTGTCTGCGATTGTGGGGGCTTTGCTTGACGGGCCACCGGATGTCCTCCGAGATTGTCACAAGCAATGCCACACGACACGGCACGGTCCACTTTTCCGAGCACGTTTAGGGTTTAAGGCTGAGGGTTTAGGGTTTAGGGTTTAGGCTTTCGCCAGGTTTATCCCGCAGAAAACACCCAACAGAAGCCCTAACTCCAAACACTAGCTGCCCAATACCAGTGCAGCGCCCATGTTATGCAAGACCCCCTGACCCCCTTAGGCCTTAACCCTAAACCCTAAACCCTAAACCCCAAATCCTGAACCCTAAACCAAAGGAGCCAGAAGCTCAACCACCAAGGCAGCGATCACGACGGTGGTGACAGCAGCGACGTGCAGGAGCAACTTGTTGCCGTCGAGCAGATTCAGGCGCGCCGTGCGGCTCTTTTACCCTAAGCCTTCCTTGGGGGGCGACAAGCCCGACAAGCCCGAAACTCCGAACTCCCGAGCGCAAGCACGCGGCTGCTCAGGAATTCTGTCGGATTTTTTTGCTTGGAGGTGCATAGGTCTAGGGTTGAGGGTTTAGGGAGCCCAGTAAGGTTCCTCAAAGCCGCCACCTGAAACTCGGCAACCCCAATGTCGGGTTGCCAAAGATTCTGTTGCCCCTCCCTTAAGTGAAGTAAGACTTCTGAAATCACATCAGGATCCCTATTAAAATATACGGAATACTCGGTACACGAGGGGCGTGAGGTTTAACCGTCCAGGGCTTACAGGGTTTGGGATTTCGGCTTGAGGGGTTGAGGTTAAAATGGTTACTGGTAGCTCTGCAAGAAACCCTTGACCCTTATGGTTGAGGGCGTTTGGGGTTTAGGGTTTAGAGTTTAGGGTTTAGGGTTTAGCGTTTTAGGGTTTAGGGTTTATACGGTTTAGGGTTGAGGCTGTTGGTGCGGAAGTTGCTGGAGCCCTGGTCTGCCACGCCACGCAGGCCGCCGAGCGCGCCTTTGCGGCCCGACTGGCCGATGGCTGCTTGGCCCCCCCAAGAGCAGAGCTCGGCCCTAGCAAACCCTAAACCCTAAGCCCTAAACCCTAAACCCTAAACCCTAAACCCTATAAGCCCTCTAAGCCCTGTAAACCCTCAAACCCTCTCAAACTGCAGCTTCCTAGAACCCAAGGCTGGGGTCCGAGTCTTGGCCCCCTTTAGGAAGTACCTTTATATCTGTATTTATAGAAAACCCAAGGGAATCTTTAGTTAAAGTATTAGTGCTCTTAAGGTTCTAAGGGGAGTATCGGAGTGGGCCCGAATTCCGTGATTTCGTGGCTTAGTTTTTGGGGTTCAGGGTTCTGGCGACCATCCGCCTTTCGATTCCTAGGTCACCCTAAACCCTAAACCCTAAACCCTAAACCCTAAACCCTAAACCCTAAACCCTAAACCCTAAACCCTAAACCCTACAACCTAAACCCTAAACCCGAAACCCTAAACTTGGACCTCAGAAGCCCGGAGCCCTAAAAACCTGCCTCGGGCCCAAAATTCTTAACCAGGTTGGCCTGGTGGATGCTGGGGTGTTTTCCTTCTTTGGGTTTACAATACCCCCCCCGCAGCAGACCTCCCGACCTACACATATACCCTTTCAGACCGGAGCGACCACCTGTGGAAGTTCGTGCTCAGCTGCAAGCCTTCCTTTAGGGTTTAGGGATTAGGGTTTAGGGTTTAGAGGGCGGAGCGCGACAAGATGGTCAAAGTGGGGGAGAACATCATGCAGCTCTTCAAGAAGCATCGCTTGGTCTCGACGATCAAGCTTGAGCCCATGCTTGTGGGCATCCATCCCCGCAACAGGGACGGGTATGGCATGAACTCAGAGGATGTGAGGGATCTCATAGATTCATCGCAGACGTCGGATTCGCTCCGAGCAAAGTACATGCCGTTGGTGTGGAGGTTGAGTCTGAAGCAGTTTGGGGTCGATGGACGCCTCGTCCATGAAGGTCACAAGCCCTTGTGGCTCGCGCACGAATGCTGCGCTTCGTTGCCTGAGAGAGCAAGCCCCCCACAACAACGAACTGCTCTGCTCGGGTGGCCGGCTGTCCCTAGACAGGCTGCAGCAGCGAAAGGCCATCCCGGCTAAACGTCCAGGGCCTCGGTGTATAGGGCTTTTGGAGTTCAGAGGGGGCGCCCTTCTTGTTCCTAGGCTGCTGGGCAACCTAGCCTAACCGAACAGTGATCAGGGTCGTAAGGCTCAGGGCGTGGGCTTCGAAGATGCCGGGGAAGTGTATAGGGGATTTAAGGGCTCAGTGTTGAGGTTTGGGGATGCATGGGAGATTTTGGGTATCGGGTATAGGGTTTATTGGGGATTTAGGGTATACGGTCCATCGCGAATTCAGGGCTCAGGGGAGGGAGACGACGAGTCCAAGGCTCCGTGGTGACGTGGGGCGACAAGTACGCAGGGGGCGACAGCGGCGCCGTCCAGAGCCAGCTGCGGCAGGCCCATCAGGGTTTGGGGTTTAGGGTTAAGTTTAGTTTAGGGTTTAGGGCTTAGGGCTCAGGGCTTAGGGCTTAGGGCTTAGGGCTTAGGGTTTAGGGTTTAGGGTTTGGGGTTTAGGGTTTAGGGTTTAGGGTTTAGGGTTTAGGGTATACCCCCCCGAGACACAACTTCTAAGTGTAACTCCATGGTCCCTGAGTAGGAGGGACCCCGAGGGGTTTAGGGTTCAGGGTTCTAGGCAGGATTTTTAAGGTTGAGGGGTTTAGATGTTCGGGTTAGGGCATAGGGTTTCTGCAGGAGTATGGGACCGTTTAGGTGATCTGTAGACAACTTATAGGGCGTTTATGAAAAGGATTTATAGACCCCTTGATAGGTTTTCGGCTCTGTATTGTCTTAGTCGAGTTGTTTGGGGCCTTTAGAGCTTTGGAACTGCTCAGAAGCCGTCATCCACTTGGCCTAATCTGCCAAGGGCTTGATGCTATAGATTACGTGTTATATAGGGTTTAGGGTTTAGGGATATATAAATATATGTAAAGAGTGACTCTGTTAATGAACAGCGGCAGCAACAGCTGCAACGACGACGACGACGACGACGACGACGACGACGACGACGACGACGACGACGACGACGACGACGACGACGACGACGAGGACGAGGACGAGGACGAGGACGAGGACGAGGACGAGGACGAGGACGAGGACGAGGACGAGGACGAGGACGAGGACGAGGACGAGGACGAGGACGAGGACGAGGACGAGGACGAGGACGAGGACGAGGACGAGGACGAGGACGAGGACGACAACAACGACGACGACGACGACGACGACGACGACGAGGACGACGACGACGACGACGACGACGACGACGACGACGACGACGACGACGACGACGACGACGACGACGACGACGACGACGACCTCGCGCGAGGCTTCTAGGAGGTTGTGATTTCCGGCTGTCAGGGTTTCGGGCTTCGGGAGCATTAGGGTGGGCTTTGTTGTCGTTTTGGGTTAGGGTGTAGGGTTGTTTTGGAGGCTCTGGGCTTAGGCTCGTAGGTTTAGGTTTGGGCTGGAAGTTATGGCTTCAGAGCCTGATTTTTGGCTCAGGGGCACAGGGCCGCAGTCGATCGAGATGATTTGTGGGTGTACGGCTGTTAGACGGCCTGAAGGAAGCAAATTTTGGGTCCACAAGAGAAGAAAGAAAAAAACCCAAGCCCTATGCCCTAGACTCAGACCCTAAACCCCAAACCCAAAAGCCTGAATGGCGGGATCATCATGGATGGGACTAGGTTCAACGGCATATTGGCGGTGAAAATCGCACAGCATGGTTTAGGGTTCAAGATTCAGGGTTGTTCCACCCCCCTGTTGCGCCTGGTGGACACCAGGCAGGGCAAGTCCATTCGAGCAGGCGTCAGAAGTGTGGACCTGTGTTCCTAAATACCCTGAATACCTTAAACACGCTAGATACCCTAAACCCTCAACCCTAATCAACCCCTCAACCCTAAACCCTAAACCCTCAACCCTAAACCCTAAACCCTAAACCCTAAGTCCTTGTGTGTCTCGAGGCCCCAAATCCCTCCAAAGACCCTTGCGACGCTGAGGTGTTGGAGATCCAGTCTTCTCGGCTCGCATTCGCCGCCATCCGGGAAGATGGCTCGGTGCCTGGTGCCGCAGTTTAGGGCTTACAGTTTAGGGTTTAGGGTTTAGGGTTTAGGGTTTAGGGTTTAGGGTTTAGGGTTTAGGGTTTAGGGGCTTTTCTTGGTAGCCCAGTGGTACGCTTTTCACTTTTTTTGGTTCAAGGTTCCCTTATGAAGCAACCAACCCAATAAAGGGGTGCCCTTATTGTAATACTGTAATAGGGTTACTGGGCTACCAAATTTTTGTTTTTTTTTTTTGTTTTTTTTATTCAGGTTTTTTGGGTTTTAGGGGTTCGGGAGTTCAGGGGTTTCGGAGTTTAGAGGTCTTCGGCTTTAGGGTTTCAGGGTTTAGGAGCGTAGGGGTTTAGGGGTATGGGAGCCGCAACCTCAAAAGCCCCAAAAGCCCTCACACCCTAAAACCCCAAAACCATCAACCTGCCCAAAAGCCCTAGAATCCTCCCTCAACCCCTCGAACCCTCAAACAAGAACCCCCCCAAAACAAAATCCCGGCGAAACCCCGCAAGACCCTGAGCAAACCCCAAAAACCCTGTCAAACCCCTAAGCCAAAAACCCAAAAGAAACCCGCCCCCAGAGGACAAACCCTATATAAACCCTAGAAACCCTATAAAACCCTATAAAACCCTATAAACCCTAGAAGCCCTGTAAAACCCTAAAAGCCCCATAGGACCCTATAAAACCCTGCAAAACCTACCAGAACCTAAACAGCCCTATAAATACCCCCCCCCAAACCCTGAAAAAACCCTACAAAAACCCTGCCAAAAAACCCCATAACACTTCTAAGACCCTATAGAAAACCCTATAACACCCTCTAACACCCCCCAAAAAACCCCCCCCCACCCCACCCCCAGAGGTGGTGACGTGGGGACATCCGGACTATGCCGGCGACTCGGGGCCGGTGCGGGAGCGGCTCCAGGGCGTCCGGCAGATCCAGGCCTCCTCGTTTTTTTTTTGGTACGTTTTTTTAAGGGTTGTTAAAGGTTTGTTAGGGTGCTTAAGGTTTTTTTTCAAGGTTTTTTTTTTTTTTTTACGGTTTTTGTTCAGGGTTTTTAAGGGTTTTTTAGGCTGCTTGAGGGTTTTTTTGTTGGGGTGTTTAAGGGTTTTGAAAGGTTTTTAAGGATTTTAGGGGTGAAGTGTTTTCTTGGGCGGGTTTTAGGGGTTTTTGGGGGCTTTAGGGGTTACAGAGGGTTTAGGGTTTCGGGGCTTAGGGAGTTTAGGGTTTAGGGGTTCGGGTTTAGGATGGAGTGGTTTAGGGGCTTAGGGTTTAGAGGATTTTAAGGGTGTTCGCGGGCTTTGGGTGCTTTAGGGTTTTAGCCTCCTGAAGGTTTTTTTCAGGGGGTTTAGGGGCTTGAGGGGTTTTAGGTAGGGGGCGTAGGGGTTTAGAGGGTTTAGGGTTTAGGGTTTAGGGTTTAGGGGCTTCCTGAGGAGCGTTAGGAGGTTTAGGGGGTTTCGGGTTTTCAGGGAGTTTAGGGGCTTGAAAGCTTTTTTGGGTTTTTGGGGGCTTGAGGGGCTTTAGGGGTTTTAGGGAGTTTAGGGTGTTTCGGGTTTAGGGTTTAGGGTTTAGGATGGAGTGGTTTAGGGGTGAGGGTTAAGGGTTTTGGGGTTTAGGGCGACCCTCAACCGCTGCAAGGCCGAGATAGCTCGCAGGACCTAAGCCCTGCACCCTGCCCTCCTCAGTGCGCCTCACTCCAAAACTACTTACTCAAACTTTCGACCTGGGTGAAGGAGGGGGGAGGAGGGGCCGAAAGCCTTAGGCACTGAACCCTGAATTGTAAACCCCAAAGCCCCTAAACCCTTAAATCCCTACTACCGAAAACCCCTGCAAACCCCCCAGCCACTCCCCTAAGCCTCTAAACCCTACCACCCCTAAACCCCGAAAACCCTTTAAACCCCCGAAGCCCTAAACCCCAAACCCCAAACCCTGAACCCTAAACCCCACCCTAAACCCTAAACCCTAAACTCTAAACCCTAAACCCTAAACCCTAAACCCTAAACCCTAAACCCTAAACCCTAAACCCTAAACCCCAAAGCCATTCCTCAGCCCAGGCTTCGTGGGGTGCCTTTGCTGCGCTCCTCGACTCGGGCATCGTAGTCACCTGGGGGGACCGAGCCTCACAGTTTTGTAGGGGGGATTTAGGGTTTAGGGTTTTTGTAGGGTTTGGGGTGGTTTAGCGTTTACAGCCTCAAGGCCCTAAACTCTAAGCCCTGAACCCAAACCCTAAACCCTAAACCCTCAACCCTAGATAAACCCTACGCCCTAAACCCTAAACCCACTGAACCCCAACCCTAGACAAGGCCGCCGCCCCCCCCCCATGGGTTGCGTTCAAAATTCGCGTGTCTGCTCAGTTACTTTAATTTACATTAATTGGTTTGGCCGGTCTATTTTCATGTCTTTGCTATAAGGCGGCACCGAGGGGGATCCCCTAAAACTCCAGTGTGGCGCTAGGAAAACGCTAGGTTCGCGCTTGGTAAAATCAACAAACATTATTTTAAATTTCGCATGTCACCACAAAGCGAACCCAACAGAGATTGATTGAGAAGGCCCAGCCAGGCACGCCACCCGAAATGTGCGTGCAAATCTGGGGTGGTGTAATAACCCCGCGCCTTTTCATTATAAATTGACGGGGCCCCTGTTGCCAGGATATAGGTTCTTCCAGGAAAACGATGACAAGAAAGAACCGATATTCTTGTTATACTTGGTGCATTTGCTGCTCCTGGCTTGTTTTCGTCGTTCATCACGTCGTAGCGTCAGATCTTGGAAAATCTGGCACAGTGTTTTGCGCTAGCGCCGCGCTAGCACGGCGCTAGCAAAACGTCAACGCAACCTCCCCCGGCAGACCATGGCCCATTCCTCCTCTAGCAGACCATAAAGGAACACCATAGAACCGAGAGTGCTATGCTTGCTGGAGCTCGAGCCCCGCAAGTGGCGACAGCGGAGACACCTTCGCTCGCGCCAGAACTCCAGCAGTAGCAGTATGTAGCAGTAACACTAACAGTTCTTGTGACGACTCGTCCGACAGCAGCGCCTGAATCCTGGGCCGCGCTAGCACCCTTTCTAGGAAATCATGCTTGGACCCTTCAAATGTCGCATTTGCTACTCTATCTCAATCAGCTTTTTTTCCTTCAGGACATAAGGCGGCACCGAGGGTGTTCCGATTTAACGTCAATTTCGGGAACAAGCATTTTGACAACAACCCCCATCCTGACCTTACGCAGTGCGCAGGACCGAGATTACGGTGGAGACAGCCGAGCTGTACGCAGCCCCTTGGCGGGGCTTCTGGGAGTTAGCTCGGATCTTCGGGTATGCATGTGGAAGCTTAAGCCCTAAGCCCTTAAGCCGTAAGCCCTAAACCTTAAACTCTGAACTCTAAAGGTTTTAGGCTTTGGGCTTAGGAGGTGGTAGAGGTGGAGGTCGGCGGCAGGGCAGATAGGGTAGGTGGGTTGGGCCGGTAGGGCAAGGCAGGTAGGTAGGTCTGCGTGGTGTGCAGGTGTGTTCGTGTCTGGCAGTGCTTGGGGCTTCGGGCTGGGTTTTGCTGGGACTCCCCCGTAGGCCCGACATGCCCATGCACTCTCATGCATTCACGATCAGCCCGAACCCGAAGCATCCGCCCAAACCTGGAAGCCCCTAAGACCCTAAGCCCTAATCCCTAAACCCTAAACCCTGAACCCTAAACCCTGAACCCTAAACCCTAAGCCCTCCAGGCCAGCTGGAGAATGTGCGGCAGATCCAAGCGGACCGCCACGCCTTTGCCGCGGTCTTGGAGGACGGCCGGGTGGTGGCTTGGTGTCCCTTGCTGGGCAGACCCTCAACCCTAGACCTTACAGTAAACCCGAAACACTTTAAACTTTAAGCCCCAAATACTATAAATCCCAAGCCCGAAACCCTAAGCCCGAAACTGTGGTTCGCGGTTTTGGCTAGGTCGAGCGTCTTGTGGGTCTGGTGGGTTGGATGTCTTGCTAGTTCTGAGTCGGGAATGAGGGAAGTAGCTAAACCCTAAACCCGAAACCCTACACCCTACACCCTACACCCTACACCCTAAAGCCCTAAAGCCCTAAAGCCCTAAACCCTAAACCCTAAACCCTAAACCCTAAACCCTAAACCCTAAACCCTAAACCCTAAACCCTAAACCCTAAACCCTAAACCCTAAACCTTTACACCCAACGATGCTGCCCTTGAATTGATGGGTGACTTCATACGGAATCTCATCATTCCCAAACTCCACACTAAGAAACCGGTAAGATAATGGTAGTTGATCAAGAACACAATGCTTCCCCAAAAAAGCATCTCTGCCTTATAAACCCGTAGGAACCCAAATATCGGTTCATCGGGGAAGTTTAGGTTTTCGGAGGCCTCCCCGCCCCATTCGCAAGCGCGGCATGTAAGCCCTGAGGCCCTCTATGCCCGAAGCCCTGACTTAAAGCCCTGCAAGTAAGCCCCTAACCCTCCAAACCTAAACCCGAAACCCGAAACCCTAAACCCTAAACCCTAAACCCGAAACCCGAAACCCTAAACCCCCGGCTGTGAAACTCAGGTGGCTTGGGGCGATCAGGGCTGCGGTGGCCGGGTCCATGAGGGAATTCAGAGAGAGCTGCGGGACGTGGAGCAGGCGTGGGGAGGGTTTAGGGTTTAGGGTTAGAGTTTGGGGCTTAGGGTTTAGGGCTCCGAGTTTAGGGTTTGGGGTTCAGGGTTGTGGCTCGTGGGGTGTTGGCTCGAGGTTTTAGGGTTTTGAGTTTGGGTTGTGGGGTTTAGGGTTTCGGCAGAGGGCTTCGAGACTCCAGGAAAGCGTCAGGGGCGTGTGGGGAGGGAGGGCTTCGTCGGGAGCAAGGGTTTCAAGCTCGTGTCTATGGCGGACGCTTCAGGGGACCATTCAGCACGGGACACAGCCCCCCCCCCCCCCCCCCCCCCCAAAAAAAAAAAAAAAAAGAACAACACCTCGATGCGACAAGGTGCAGAGCTCGGACTTTGCGTTTGCGGCCCTCCGCCGGGATGGCTCGGTGGTGACCTGGGGGGACCAGGCCCCTTCGGCTAAGGGGAGTTTTAGGGGGTTAGGGAGTTCGGGAGTTTATAGGGTTTAGGGCTAAGGAAAAGTCCTAAACCCTCAAAAGTTCTGAATGAGAAACATTTCGGTTCTTGCTCAGGGGTGCCAGTGGATCGACACGAACCCTAAACCCTAAACCCTAAACCCCAAGCCCTAAAACCCTCCATTTCGCCCAAGTCCCTGACTCGTCTGGGCGCAGCCCCCGAACCCTAAGCCCCATGTAAACCTTAGGTGAACCCTATGGAAATCCCTATACCTGAAACCCTAAGCCCTAAACCCTAAACCCTAAACCCTAAACCCTAAACCAAAAACCCTAAACCCTAAACCCTAAACCCTAAACCCTAAACCCTAAACCCTAAACCCTAAACCCTAAACCCTAAACCCTAAACCCTGAACCAAACAGCAACACCAGAAACCCAAGCTGCGAGCCAGGGAGTCGATGCGGGAATCTTTCTTAGGGTTTAGGGTTTAGGGTTTAGGGTTTAGGGTTTAGGGTTTAGGGTTTAGGGTTTAGGGTTTAGGGTTTAGGGTTTAGGGTTTAGGGTTTAGGGTTGAGGGTTGAGGGTTGAGGGTTTAGGGTTTGGGGCTATTCCAAAAGCTTCCGGGGTAAACGGGCTTAGGGCTCAGGGTTCAGGGTTCAAGGCTTAGGGTTTGGGGTTTGGGGTTTAGGGCTAGGGTTTAGGGCTGAGGATGGGATTTTTCGGAGGTTCATGGGTACTTCATCAGAAGGGCTTATAAGAAAAGGCAACCTCTGCCAAAAAAACACAACCTTACTAGTGTACTTACAACCCCCAGTTAAAACTACCCATGAAGACCCTAAACGCCCTAAACCTTAAACCCTGAACCCTAAACCCTAAACCCTGAACCCTAAACCCTAAACCCTAAACCGTAACAAAGTGCTGTCGCCACCCAGGAGTACGGTGGAGACAGCCGCGCGGTGCAAGAGCAGCTGCTGGGCGAGTTGGCCTTGGAGTAGAATTTTGCCACCGTGTTTTTTGTTTATGTGTTTTAGTAATCAGTACTGCTACTCTTCATTCCCGTTACATATGTGTATATGCAGGTTTGATATATAGAGTTGTTGTAAAATATGTTTCGTTGTTATGTCATGTACTGTTATTTAAAATAATGCTATAAAGGTACGCGCAGGTTCAGGAAGCCTAATTCGATCCGAAACCTCACACCTCAGGGTTTTGTGAAGAATGGTATCAAACGAATATCGTGCGTACTAACCATCGAAAAAACAGCAAGCTCATATCGCCGGTAACAAGAGTGGCAATGGCGATCACAAGAAGATGAATACTTGTAAGAAAAGCTACAGTGCTACCACTTGTGCCAGCCATCCCCTTTACCCGAAACCCTAAACTATAAACCCCGCAAGAGCACGCCCAAGAGCAAGCCGGGATGTGGTTTCGCCTGCCTCATCAACCCTAATCCCAGCTGCTCCGTCGAAAAGGGTTTAAGGTTTAGGGTTTGGGGTTTAGGGTTTAGGGTTTCAGAGCTTCCAGGGTCTATGGTTTCATGGGTTCAAGGGCTCAGGATCGTGTGGCTTTTTGAGATGGCATCGAACCCCTGAACCCTAAACCCAAAACCCACAACCCAAAACCCTAAACCCTAAACCCTAAACCCCAAACCCTAAACCCTAAACCCTAAACCCTAAACCCTAAACCCTAAACCCTAAACCCTAAACCCTAACCTAAACCCTAAACCCTAAACCCTAAACCCTAAACCCTAAACCCTAAACCCTAAACCCTAAACCCTAAACCCTAAACCCTAAACCCTAAACCCTAAACCCTAACCCCTAACCCTAAACCCTAAACCCTAAACCCTTCCCGCTCAAGCAAGGCTGCAGCAGGTGAAGCAGATCCAGGCGTCTGACGGCGCTGTCGCGGCAGTGCTGAGCAATGGAGGCGTCGACGCCCAAAAGCATCTTAGGGTTTAGGGTTTAGGGTTTATGGCTTTTGGGTTTAGGGCTTTAGGGTTTAGGGCTAGGGTTTAGGGTTTCGGTTTTGGGGTTTAGGGCTTAGGGTATACCCTGTGCAACCGTAACAGTATGCAAGACGGGCAGAGTGATCCCGGATTTTAGGCTTCATCTGGTCCTCAAGGTTAGGAGCGGATGCTGTTGGTCCCGCTCTCAGAGTCTTCGGGCTTACGAAATCCCTAAACCCTAAACCCTAAACCCGAAACCCTAAACCCTAAACCCTAAACCCTAAACGGGCGTCGGGTCTAGGGTTAGGGTACGTTTAGGCCTTGAGGCTTGTTGGCGAGTCGTGGGAACCCTAGGCCCTAGGACTCTGGACCCTGGACCCGAAACCCTAAACCCTAAACCCTAAATCCTAAATCCTAAACCCCAAACCCCAAACCCTAAACCCTAAACCCTAAACCCTAAACCCTAAACCCTAAACCCTAAACCCTAAACCCTAAACCCTAAACCCTAAACCCTAAACCCTAAACCCTACACGAGGCGTGGTGACTTGGGGCGATCCCACGGATGGCGGGGAGAGCTCCCACGTGCAAGCGCAGCTCCGTGATGCTCCAGGGCTGCGCATGACCCTAAACCCTGAACCCTAAACCCTAAACCCTAAACCCTAAACCCTAAACCCTAAACCCTAAACCCTAAACCCTAAACCCTAAACCCTAAACCCTAAACCCTAAACCCTAAACCCTAAACCCTAAACCCATGTCTGGGACCTCCTACCGTGGGGGATTCGGACAACCAGTTCGTATCCTTACTAGAAAAGCAATCTGCCTTCTAAGGTTTTTTTGGGGACAGTCTTTTTTGAACCATGGGTCTTCTGGTTTAGGGCGCTGAGGGGCGCAGTTCGGGTTTAGGGATGAAAAGTGGTTTGAGGGTTTAGGGTTGGATGAACCGTACTTCAGGTACGGCACGTGCAAGCCTCCTCCGGCGCTTTTGCCGCCCTTTTGGGGGATGGTTCGGTGGTCTGCTGGGGGGCAGCAGATCGGGGCGGTGACTGCAGCGCGGTGCGAGAGCAGCTGAGGAGTCAAGGCTTCAAACTATGGAGGTTTTAGTTTAGGTTTAGGGTTTAGGGTTTAGGGTTTCGGGTTTCGGGTTTAGGGTTTAGGGTTTGGGGTTTGGGGTTTAGGGTCAGTCCCGAGGCCCCCTCCCTGCCTAAAACAGTTCTGACGGTGAGGGTCGCACACTTTCGAAGAAATTGGGAATTTCGGTAAATTCCGTAGAATAAATTTCCATTCACCGAAGGTCTCAAAATTCTATAGTCCCTACCAAGACTTGCCAGCACACAGGGGTCACGCGAGCATTTTTTGTTGTGCCGCCCAGGAGCGTGCAGCATATCCAGGCCACCCGTGCTGCCTTCGCCGCCATTGCAGCCGATGGTGCAGTGGTGACCTGGGGAACTGGCACCTCTGGTGGGGACAGCAGCGGCGTGCGTGACCAACTGAGAGACACGCACGTCTTCGCTGGAAAAGGGTTCCGTCCGACTTTTTACTTAGACTAACCTTGAAGCGGCAGTACAGGCGAGAATCCATAAGGGCTGAGCGGTTCCCATGCGTGATCTCATCTTTTCAGATCTTGAACTGCTAAGGCCTTCGAGCGACAAACCCTGTCGTTCACGCTTGTAATGTTCGTAGGCTCAGCAGCAAAGTATGTAGCGTATATTCGAACCCTATTCAGGGCACTTTAAACCCAGATACAGCTACCCATGAGCCTCCAAGTAGAAAGCTGCCATTCAAGTCAAGCACAAAGCAACAGTAATGACAGTGAGGAAACATAGCAGCCATTGCAGCAAGAACTTGAACTTGAGTACGAAGACTACTAAGGTTGATCATGCAACTACTCCCAGGACCCAGAGTGGGCCCAGATATCCCTTTTTTAGGGTTTAGGGTTTAGGGTTTAGGGTGAAAACGGTCTGCTCGAAAAGGCTCATGCTACTGCTAGTGCGAAGACCCCAGACCAAGCCCACCGGAACCGGATCCCAGGGTTTAGGGTTTAGGGTTTAGGGTTTAGGGTTTAGGGTTTAGGGTTTAGGGTTTAGGGTTTCCCTCCCTCGCAAGTCTGAGCCCGGGATTCCTATAAACCCTCACCAGGCCCTGAAACCCTAAACCCTAAACCCTAAACCCTGGTTTTAGGAGGTTCGGGGCTGAGGGTTTAGGTTTTTAAGGGTTTGGGGCTTAGGGACTGGAAGTTTGCCCTTCAACCCCCCATAAGTAACTCCTAAACCCTACCGAACCCAAGATCACAAGGCTTTCCAGAGACTAAACTCGGTAGGCCCTTGGGACGTTCTACATTTTCCCTTCTTGAGTGCAAGAGGATCATCTTCAAGAGTCTTTTACAGAGGGTATTTTAAGTGCCATCCTAGTGAAAGCCCGGCCGCGCCTGAGGTGTATAGATTCCGCTACGATCCAGTCACCTACGACGGCAAGTGGACGCTGGGAATTCATGGGTTTGGGGGTTCAGGGGTTTAGGGGTCCAGGGTTTAGGGCTTAGGGGTTTCGGGGTTTGAGGGGTATTTGGGGTTTGGGTTTAGAGGTATTTAGGTTTTAGAGGCTTAGGGGTATTTAGGGTTTGACGGTTGTTGCCGCTTGGCCTGGGATGCATCGCGGGCAAGGGTCGCACAGCTTTGGCCCAAACCTTCATAAAAGGGTTAGGGCTTATGGTTTAGGGTTGAGGGTTTACGGTTTAGGGGTACATGATCCCACTGTTAGGGGGAGGGGGGGGGGGGGTTGACAGGTCTGTCTCAAGGTGCGTTTGCATCATGCCACGCCAGCATCTGAGTGTGTCGGAATCTGTAGCAGAAGCCCTTTGCAGTTTGGCGGCGACTTTGTGTTGCCCTGAACCCTAAACCCTAAAACCAAAAACTCCCTAAACCCTAAAAATCCCTAAACCCTCTACTGCTCTACAGGGTGTTCAGCCTCCGATTTGCTGAGCCTTTGTGTTCAAGGGTTTAGGGTTTAGGGTTTAGGGCTTAGGGCTTAGGGTTTGGGGTGCAGCACCCCTTCTGCACCCACGCGTTCGCGGAAGGACTAAATCTTCGATCCGAAAATGGCTGGAAGACGTGCTCTTCGGCTTTCTCACTCCAGAAACGTTCATGCGGTCCCTGTATGTAAATTGCCAATCTTCTCCCCTGAGCCCCAAACCCTAACCCCAAGCCCTCAACCCTCAACGCTAAACCTTAACCGTACATCCAACGCAGCCCTCCTTGAAACCCTAAGGCCCCAAGAACACCCCAAAACCCCCAAGAATTGCCCAAAACCCTCTAGCTGCCTAAAGCCCTTAAAGCTGTCTAAAGCCCTAGAACCCAAAACCCCAAACCCGAAGCTTTTTTTTAGACCCCAAAGCCGAAGCCACAGATTGCTTTGAGACGTTTTGGGGTTTTTGGGGCCCCAGGGGCAAAGAGCGGAACCAACATTGCGTCCAAGAGCCTTGGGGTTTCAGGTTAGGCTTAGGTTTGCGGTTTGGAGTTTCGGCATTCGGGTCCCTAGACCCTAAACCCTAAACCCTCAACCCTAAACCCCAAACCCCAAACCCAAAACCCTAAACCCTAAAGCAATCCTGGGGCCTTCGTTTTTCTTCGTTTTGTAAACTAGGGATCTTGCTAGGAGGAAGCCTACTACCGATGCTCTGACCAAGGCACCCTATTTTTCGAACCCTGAACCCAAAACCCAAAACCCAAGCCCCAAAACCCTAAAACACCCAAAGCCCTTCAAACCCCTCAAAACCCGAAAGCCCCCAAAACCCCAAAACCCTCAAGCCCTAAACGCCTAGACCTTGAATCAAAAACGCTAAGCCCTAAACCAACAAAAACCGCAAACCCTAAGTTCTAATTCTTACACCAAGCCCAGCCCTGCAGGCTTCTAAACCACCAGGTTTAGGGTTTGGGGTTTGGGGTTTAGGGTTTAGGGTTTAGGGTTTAGGGTTTGGGGTTTAGAGTTTAGGGTTTAGGGTTTGGGGTTTAGGGTTTGGGGTTTGGGGTTTAGGGTTTAGGGTTTGGGGTTTAGGGTTCAGGGACGATCATGGGAGCACTTCCAGCCAAGGTCCTATCCGCCTGTAAACCGCCTCATGGCCGCTCTTGCCGGTGTTTTCAGGGTTCAGGGTTTAGGGTTTTAGGGGTTTAGGGTTTAGGGGTTAGGGTTTAAGGTTTAGGGTTTAGGGTTTAGGGTTTAGGGTTTAGGGGTTTAGGGGTTTAGGGGTTTAGGGGTTGAGGGGTTGAGGGGTTGAGGGGTTGAGGGGTTTAGAGGTCGAGGGGTTGAGGGGTTGAGGGGGTTTAGGGGTTTTGGGGGTTAGGGGTTTTAGGGGTTTAGGGGTTAGGGGGTTTAGGGGGTTTAGGGGTTTAGGGGTTTAGGGGTTTAGGGGTTTAGGGGTTTAGGGGTTAGGGGTTGAGGGGTTTAGAGGTTGGGGGTTTAGGGGTTCAGGGGTTGAGGGGTTTAGAGGTTGAGGGGTTTAGGGGTTTAGGGGTTGAGGGGTTGAGGGGTTGAGGGGTTTAGGGCGTTTGGGGAATGGGGGTTTAGGGGTTCGGGATTTGGGGGTTTAGGGGTTAGGGTTTCGGGTTCAGCGATTTGGGGATTGTGAGGATTTAGCGATTTAGGTTTCGATGGCTTCGCTGACTGCGATTCTGTAGTTGCTGCTTTCTCCAATGGCCCTAAACCCTAAACCCTAGATCCTAGACCCTAAACCCTAAACCCTAAAGGCCCCAAATACCTACGGTAAGCCGCTTTGGGCTCCCATCGCCGTTGGGGGGCTTAGCTAGGGTTTAGGGTTTAGGGTTTAGGGTTTTGGGTTTTGGGTTTTGGGTTTAGGGTTTAGGGTTTAGGGTTTAGGGTTTAGGGTTCAGGGTTTAGGGTATAGGGTTTAGGGTTTAGGGTTTTTTGGGGGGGGTTTGGGCGGCATGGGCTAAGGCTTATGCAGTGCTGTCTGGGAGATGCTTTCCTCATACCCGGTGCACTTGACCCTAAGCCCTAGACTTGGGATGTTCTCCCTCTTTCTAACAGTCCTTAATAGGGATTCTAATGGGGGGGGGTACTGTAATCCCTGTTAAGGACTGTTGGTATAAGGGGGACCATCCCAACCCGAACCCTAAACCCTGAGCCCCATCTGCGCCCTTCAACGCCTTGATCCCAACCCTCCGCCAGAAGACTTGCAGCCGCCCTAAACCCCAAACCCCAAAGCCCTACACCCAAACCCTAAACCCTTAAGCCGTGGAGAATCTATCGCATGAACCCTCAAAAAGGCGAAAGCTGCCTCAATAGCCCTACACCCTACAGCGTTTACGGTTCAGGTTTTAGGTTTCAGGGTGTAGGATCCCCTAGACTCGGAAGGCCCTTGGGAAACATTTATATTTGCGCCCCTATTGAGTGTAAGCGGATCATGTTTGTGTATCTTTTCAGAGCGTTTAAAGGGCCAACCTACAAATCTTCACCAGGGTAACCCCACCCAGCATACCGAGGCTTGCAGCCACAGTTCGCGCCGACCAAGTACCTGCCGGGCCCTTTCCACTTCAGGGTTTAGGGTTTAGGGTTTTGGAGTTTAGGGTTCCTAGGATCCAGAGGCCCTTATTCCACCCATTTCTTGGGGCTAGGTTCACTTGTGAGCCCGTCTAAACCAACAAGGGCACCCGGTTTATTTTTGGGTTACTCTTGGGTCTAACCCTAAACCCCCCTCAACCCTAAACCCTAAGCCCTAAACCCTAAACCCTAAACCCTAAACCCTAAACCCTAAACTAGGGTTCTGGGTTGTCAAGGAGCCCTACGCTGCAAAGAAAGGGTGGATGTTCAACTCTGACTGCAGGTTCTGGGTGGTCCTTAAAGCCTAATTAAACCCTAAACCCGAAACCCTAAACCCTAAACCCTATGCCCCAAACCCCAAACCCCGAACCCTAAACCCTAACCCGTGAGCTGAGGACGAAAAATCCGTTTGGTGTCCTGCTGGTCGTAAAGCCGGTGGCTGCCGACACTGAGGACTTGGCCCAGGCGCGGGCAACTGTCTGCGCCGGAGCACGCCTTGATCCCTACCACAAGGTTTAGGGTTTAGGGTTTAGGGTCCCTTGTGGGCCCTA